TGAAATAGACGTCATGTTCTACCGAATGACAGAAAGAATGAATATTGTTATTCATTTTTTCCATGCAATATAATAGACTTTCTAAGGTCATCGAAAATCACTGAGAAAAATGCATGCTACACAAGTAGTCATTTTTACAGAATGCAGCTCCTGCATGTAGCTGAAAAAAAAAGTTTATTTGAAAGCCGGCACCCTGAGATGACTGAATCATTATGCTGCACGATGATTGGTTTTACAGCCCTACTTAATTTGTCTTTTCGAAAGGAATACGTATTTCGGAATTTCTGCTGAGAGTTCATGAGTTAGCCCACTTTCTGTAGGTTGGTTATTCCATCTCGTATGCTCTACAAACCGAGAAATGTGGTCCAACTTCCTAAGTTGCCAATTTGCGTTCGTGTACCAGGTTATCACAATGTTTTGTGCGCCACAGGGCATAATTTTTAGTCTATCTAGGCGGAGCAGGATGGGTACGATGGATTTCCCTCTCAGGCGTGACCAGCTTCTCTGATGGCGACGATATTGCGGTACTCAGCAAGGTTCACAGTTTCAGAGTGAGGCCAGTTACCGTTTAGCTCCCAACGTTAACTAACTGCAGCAACACCAGAAAAAGGAGCCGTAAACAACAGTTGTTTTTTTGCCACGGTGCTTTTTATGGAGAAGGGGGCGAAAAGAACACATAAACAGAGTGCATGCAAATGCGCCCTCTATCAGTGGGCGCGGTAAGGACAAACTGTGCAGTCCTGGTGTTGGTCAGTTGCGTAGTCGCGCTAGTCCGTCATTAATTCAGTTTTGCGCGGGAGCGCGTTCTTGTAAGAGGACTCCGTGCGCCTAACTCTATGAGGCCTTTTCTTATCTGCATATCTGTACTCAACGGGCATCTTATAGTAGGCAAGGCAAATTATGTGTTGGTAGTCAACAGCATCCCCCCCCCTCCGCCATATTCGACAAAATACATTGGCCGCCATAGAAGGCGTCCTGTTGTTAGCATGCTTTCCTTGTCTCCGATCAGAGTTTTCAGTCGAAACTGCAGTCAGCCTTGAAGCTGCTTCAGTGTCGACTTTAGATTTCGGAACAGAGGTCTGGGTTAGCTTTCAGAGAAGAGGCAACATGCGTGCACTAAGGACGCACTAAACTGAGACGGTTTCGCGTATGCCTGTTCGATCTCCGTAAGTGCGGACGTACACCGCGTGCTCCACGCTCTGGGTGCGACATCGGCGACTCGCACGCAAGTCAGTCTATAGAGGAAGACTTGCGCAGCATCTACCGCACTCTCGCCTGCATGTAAAAGCAGCGTCAGCTGAGGTGGGCGTGGACGCAGTGACTGACAAAACTGAACAGTCCTTACACGACCTTGACCGCAGTTCGCATGCACAAGGTCGCTGTGACTGCGACTGGGTTCTCGCATAGGCAGAGTGCCCTTTCGGCTTGCAGTCACCCAACGTCGATTCCTTCCCTTTCCAAAGCCTTTAAGAAATTTCTCATGAGCCAGGGATCGACTGCGCATGTTTAAGAAACTCTTAAAGGCTTTTGAGATTCTGTGGCAAACATTAGGCAGCAACGTAAGTAGGAATTGTGGTTAACTTACGACTTGTAATCCTAACTCACGTATATTAATCCGTTAAACAACAAATAACTGTCTACATGAACGCCATTGGCTCAGGGTGAAAATATTAGAGGTTCCAGTTCTAAAACCGATGTACACTTCACTTTAAATACCTAGATCACATAGTTTGGTGTGGTTTGTAAGAACATTTGGTAATCATTAGCGACACCCTCTTTTAAAATTTTAAAAGCGGGACGCTTACTGACGGCAGATATCAATAGGCTTGAAACGTTTATCGTCCAAAATTGGGGAAAGACTGAGACATGCTTAAGGCAGATTTTCGAATGCAACCTAGGATGAATTTGTTTTCGCCATTACATTTGCCTGTTTATCCGGCTTCTTAGTGAGCCCACGCCTTCCAAAATTAGGCCAGTGATAGGGTGTAAGACCCCCAAATAACTTGAGCTAGCCTGTGAACCGTGTCATACATTGAGCGATGGTAGAGAGGGTCTTACGGGCGGGACAGCAAACAGGACCGGAAGCAAGCAAACACAGAAAATAGCTAAATTCCTATCGAAAGTCTTATCGTACGCTGTCAATGGCAAAGAAAGTGAGAGCGATGATTAGAAAAGAAACAAAAAGCAATTTTTAAAAAATAACGGACTTTGACTAAAGCGCCACTGGTAGGTTTGCATTTAGTCAGTAAGGTAAGGAAATTTCAAATAATGGGAACGGTAAATAATAAGTGATGTTAACAGTCACACTGAGTTTTATGGTATATTTCTTGAGTTGCCATCTACCTGGGGGTTCTACACTCCATCGTTACCAAAATTAACGTGCTCATCACAAATGAATGGTGTTCAGCAAAGCGCACGATAAGTGCAACCTCAGAACAAATAAAAAAAAACCTATTCCCCGATTACTTATCGGACAGGGTGCTATGAGAGAAGCAAAAATTTCCTATTTAGATTTGAGTCAATGACCACATATATATACTTCAGAGAATTGAACTAACTGATTTTAGGACTTAGGAAAAAATAGGGGCTGATAACGTCATTCATTAGCCTCTTATTCAGGCAATGTCATAGTCCTCGACGGACGTTTATTCAATCCAGTCGATTAGGCGAAATGCGCAGAGGACTCCACAAAGACCAGAGGTCCGTTTCTATAACCTGCATGCACAGTAACCCGAGGGCCGCGTGCAACAATGATCAAAATTCACCCGACAATACAGTGAAAACTCAGACGGTCATTGGGTTTTTAATTAAGTAGCTTTGAGAGCCAACCACCTTAATCCCTCCTCCCACCCTTTAATCTTCCAAGGACAAGACATTGGAAGATGAGGCTGAGTCCACGTCCACGCGTGTCGATAAAGCGGTTTTTCTTACACGCACACTGACAAAACCTCAGGAAAGTCTCTAAGACCTCTCACTCGAGAAGTTTGCAGTGTGGGACAAATTTGAAAGTAGCCACTGGACGCTCAGTCTGCAAAAAAAATCCGAGATTGCCTGTGAGCTGGCAATCTCCCAAGCCGCGATGTTGGGACGTCGTGAGGGTTTGAACGCACTTAGATCTCCCATCCCGAATTCCACCCAAGTCCGAAAGTGCCACTCGCGTGTGTGTGGTCAACCGCCTGCAACAGACCCCAGTGCGGTCTTTGTTTAGGCCTAGCGCTATAGCCACAATCCCCACTGGCGGTGCTCTGTGTGTACCTGCATCTTTATGCGTTCGCCCACCAGACAATTTGCCGGTGTACTTTGTGCTGTATCGGTCAGACGGTCGCGTCTTGCTGCAAACCGGTAGCCCTATTATGCCACCGTCGTGACATTCTTTTATGCAGCGCGCAGCCCGCTATGCAAACATGCTAATAACCTCCCCCCTCCCCCCAGTCCTGCGGCGCAGTGGCCTTCGTCAAATGTACGAAGCCAGGACAGGGGCTGATCCGAAGTGGGTTTATGCCCTTGCTGGTAGGTGTTTTCCGCACAGGTATGGGTAGAAGCGTGGTTTGTTTAGCACGCGCTGTGAGCCTCTGAGGTTGGCTCTCACTTCATGCCAGTGCGAGGGAGTCCATAAGGGGGTGAAAGTGTCAAGGAAAACCGGCAAACAAGCGGGCTTGACTTGTTTGCTGTAAAAATTAGTCCAGTGGGGTTTTCAAAAGACCACAGCGAGTGGTTTGGTCAGACTTAAAGATACCAGCGATGCGCGTGAGCGCGATTTGGCGCGCACTTGCGGAGGGAAATTGGAGGGAAATTGGCACAGACAGATATGTTCTACACCAAAACCAAATTGCCCATTGCTTGCGGCGTTGTATTTTACAGGTGTTCAGGGCAAATGACCCTGACAATATCAAGGGTTGACTTTGTCTTTGCCACATCTGGCTTGTCGTTGCACAAAATCCAGGTTATCTTGAAATTTCACCATTGAACACGCCTCCCTCACCTAGCTTATTTGCGAATAGACAAATGTTTTCCTGGGTAGACCCCGACGGGTCATTAATAAAAAATTATCTTATCTTATATTACCACCACACGCCTACTTATTTGTTTTCAGTAGGCATTCCATATTGGGTATGAGTTCTTGATTAAGCCTAAGAAAATGATTTCATTTGAGGTTAGGGAAAGAGTTAAGTTTGGGGCCACGGCAAGGGTAGGACTAGGGTTAAGTTAGCCTATTGCATACCGCTTTACCTAATCCAGCCTTTTTTTACCACTAACCTTGAACCACCTGTTTTCCGCTCTTTAGCACGTCCCAAAACGTCACAATACAAAAACTAGTTAATTAAAAGAACGCCGATCACGCTCGAAAGAGGGTTACAAAAAGGGGAAAGGGGAATGTCCATAGAGGCGAAATGTGGAAGCACTTGCGAGGAGAGAGAGGAGAATTCCAAACGTCGAGCAGCTGGATACGACACTAAAATTAACGTCATTTCAGGTGTATCTGTGAGATATTCTCTCAGGGGACCTACATATCTAATCATTGCCGTTTCCCCCACTGCAATGGGTTGAGTTACCGATGCGCTGGGTCAAAACGAGGTCAGATTGGCTCGCAGAGCGCGTCCACATAGGTTGCGCAGAGTACGCACTAGAGCATTACTGCTGCTGTATGTGGGAGGAGCGAACGGCACGTCACTTTACCTACTGTGCTCAATACTATCCCCAGCTGATTCCGACAGTCGACTGACGGGTGGGAGAGAGAGGAGGAGATGAGGCCGACATTGGAGAGCACATCAGCGCCTTCCTCACCCGGAGAAGTCTGACACGTTTTAAACTATCATAACGCGCTCATAGTCCATGTTTGGTGGGATGGTAAAGCTAAGGGATAAGTTGGTCCCTCTCAGAA